TGCTTTAACATCCGCCTCTACTCTCCACCACATACATCTTAAATCACTCGGGAAAATCCTATCAAATGGGAAAAATATTAATGCAGGAATTCCAATAATTTTCAGACAAAAGCAATAAATAGTACACCCAAACTTTACCCTCCGCTTTCAATTTCATTTCATGGATTGCAAAAACTTAGAGAATGCCCATTAAAAAGTATTTATTATTTACTTTGACCCACATGTCTCACCATTTTGAAAAAGTCTACGCTGAAAACGGGGACATCAACTGCGGTGGTGGATGGCTTTCGAAAGCAGAGGCTGGTCGTTGTGAGGGTTGTGGCCAAGGGTGGCGGAAGGGTGGTGGTGAGGAAGAGAGACAGGAGGCCAAGCAATGGAACAGAAGAAAAGCTCCAGAAGAAGGCCATTCTGGCTCAATGAAATTGTAAATAATGAGAAAAATAAGGGAAAAAACCTGAAGCAACCATTGGAGGTGGAGGAGAGGTTGAAAATTATTAGACAGAGATTAGGGAAATTGTGGGGAAGAGAAAAACCTCGGACCATTTTCTTATTAAAGAATGGAGCAGAACATCATGCATCAATATAAATATTCTTAAATGAGTACAGTATATTCACAAATAGAAAATTACAAATGTTAAGGAAGTTTTGTCCATTTCATGATTAGTAGGAAAATCAAAACGTCTTTTTTGTGACTGAGAAATTTTGTCTTCCTTGGATTTATGACTTGACTCTTTCTCTCAATGAATTGTCTCCCATTTTTCATTAGTATTTACTATTTACTTTGTTCAAAGTAATTTAGCCCCTGTTTGATGTCCATTTTTTAACAGGATTTACTATTTACTCTTTCTTCATATTTACATAACTGGACGTTGTTCAAATTTTTCGAATTGGACAATAAACTTCATAAAAATGCTTCCACAATTTATACAAAAGCCATATGATGTTTACATCATGTCTTTAAATGTAAATGTAAATTTCAATTGAGACATTTTGTCAAACACCTTGATGGTATCATAGAAAATCAAAGGGAAAGAGCACCATTTAATTCTAGAGATAATCCAAAATTTAATGACAATTTGTTTAATGTAAACCAAAAAACTACTAAAATTCAAAGTTCAACCTCAAAAATAAAGTGTATTCAAAATTACCTTCAAATTTTCGAGTGTAATTCTTGAAGTTTGAATTTCTTTCTATACTCCCAGAATTTCTCTTTGATGACTTTGATTCATGATATTCATTTACCTACTTTGACCATTGATAAAATCGACCAAATATCGATAAAGATTTGCCAAATTCACGCTTTTATAGAGCAAGAAAAGCTTTTCGCTCAAAATTTGCCCCAAAATCACCCAATCGTCCCAAGGCCAACTCTCGTTAAAACTACGAAAATGCAACAGCATTAAATTGGTGGGTAAGGTTTTCTCTCTACAAGAATACTGAGTCCAAGTCGGAGTCGGAGTCAGGAATGACGGTTTCTCAAGAGTTTACTAATGCAAGGATTCCCCCTTCTAATTTGGGTTTTTGTTGTGGGTGTCAATGTTTTGAACGTAATTAATACGATAATAATAGTTTAAGTCAATTTTAAGGTATTAATCAAATACTTAATTTTTTTAGGGTATTGTACCTAATTATCCCAAAATTAAAAAAAAAAAAAAAACAGAGCCCCCTTAGATTTTGGGCCATTGTTCAAAGAAAAAAAAAATTGGGCCAGCAATATGAGGCCCCCTTAGATTTTGGGCCTGAGACGCAGGCCTCATCTGCCTCTAGGCAGGATCGGGCCTGCTTAACAATGAGTCAAGCACTTAGCAAGAATTGGAGTGAGGTAACTCAAATTCGTTAAAACTTAGTATGAGTTGTAAGATCCATCGGGACTTAGCAGTGAGTCAAAACAATAATTTCTAGAACTCAGCATAAACAATAGATCCGAATGCAAAAAAATGAGTTTGGAGGGTTTTAAAAAAATGAAAAAACCAGATCGCTTTTTATTTCTCAAAGAGTAAGTGATTCCATAAAAACTTTGAGAAACTAACCCCAACATCACAGAGTTGTTACAAGGTGATCCAACCAAAGGTTGAACTGAGAGTAGATCAGAAACCAAGGATTTCAGAAAACTAATTTCTCTCAAAAATTTCTTGTCCTTTTAAAATATCAATCTGCAAATTTGTAAAGTATTAAAAAAATTAGAATGCGCTTTGATACCACTTTTCGGTCCCACAACGTAGCGAACCCATTTGTATAATGAAAACCAAAATTGCAGAAATTTAAAACAAGAACACAAAGATTTTTCACCAAAAGGGTCGGATGTTTAGTCAATGATCTACTCACTTGTAGAGCATTTGCTGAGAGATTTAACTCCAGATCCACTAAGGTCAACCAAGAAATCGTACAAATGTATGAAGAAATCAGGGATTTCTTCATGTTCTTTCTAACCTCTCTATACTCAAATCAGTAATCAAAGCTACTTTCAAATATCTCTCACAAATTATACTAAACAACCCTCATCTCACCAAAAACAGAGTTTACATCACAAAGACGGAGAGTAACAAATTTTTAAAGAAACCCTAACTCACAAAGAGAGAGAGAGAGAGAGAGAGAGAGAGAGAGAGAGAGTTTTTCAGAGAACAACAATACAGTAAGTGATCGCCAAGAAAATGAAACAACCAAGTATAATATCTACCCATATGAATCGGTTCAAATTTAGGGTCGTAATTAAGCCAGGTATATGGCATATTGCAAACCACTATGGAGGCAAAAGCGTACAACCAAAAAACGTGTTTTATAATTGGGCCAGATTTATTTTCAAAAATTTAAGGAAAAATTTCATAAGTAAGACTTTAAGTTTACCCATTTCAAAATCAAGAAAACAAGTTTCAAACTTCAAAAAGCAAATTTTTATTAAAATTTATTTATGATTTAATTAATTATTTTATTGATTAAATATATTTAGATCACAGATGTATACAATTTGATCACAAATTAATAATTTAATTAATCACTTATTATTTTTTGGTCACAAATTATTTTCGATTATAATTCAAAAATTTTGTAGGTCACAGTTTGTTCATCGATCACAAATCAAAAAATTAGTTAGTCACATATTTATTTTTAGTCACAACATATCAAATTATTAGTCAAAAGTTATTTTTCGATCACAAATAAAAAAATTTATAGGTCACAGATCACAAATATTATAGATCATAACTTATTAGATAGTCACAAATTATTAATTTTTTAGATCACACATTATTTCTTGGTTGCAATTTATCTTTTTCATTGGTCGCATATTGTTTATTGGTCACAAATTAGTCAATTCAGTGGTCACAATCAACTAAATAGTCTGTGACCACCACCAACACTTGCGACCACCACTTCAAAGCTGCCTCCAACAGTACCGCCAACCACCACCAGTGACATTGTCCACCGCCACCATTGTCAACATCACCACCACTACAATATCTATAGCACCCACGCCCCATCCCAGCACTCCAAAGCACCATACCACGACCAACAACAACCAGCGACGTCGCCTATCACTACCACCATTGATATCACCACCACTATAACACCAACAGTAATACCACCACCATCATTTGCAACCACAACCATCGACCCGACCATGACCACCAACACCACTGCCGACCACCACGTTAGGCAGCACATCCACCTGCACCACCAACAAAAACCATCACAAACCTCAAAACCATCGCCACTGCACCCTACCCTCCACCCACCTTATAACACCACCGCAAACACCACATCATCAAAACCATCACCGCGCAACACCCCATCTCCATCCATCGCACCACCTCCACTAGCTTTACAAGCACCTTCAGCCATAGCGACGCAATAGAGGCGTGACGCCAACTCCGACAGAGATGCAATCAATTTTGAATAGATGCCCCAATCCACAACCTTTAACACCACATTCATCGCTGCCATGTCAATCGCCGACTGCAGTCGTCGTACCACCATCTTCCCACAGTCATGAGTAGATTTCCACCACCACCATATCTACATCACATCTAAAATCGAAACCACCATCACCACATTCACCCTAGATATCTACCAAATCGCCGACTGCAACCGTCAAACCACCATCTTCCCTATAGTTGCAACTCGATTTCTTCGAGTTGCTGTCGCCACCATGACCTGCAGCGACGGTAGCCACAGTGGTGCTGCTATGATTCGCAATGTTGTTAACCTTGATCTTTGCCGAGAAAGGGTTGAGAGAGAGAGAGAGTTAGGGTTATATTTATTTCATAAAAATATTAATTAAAATAAATTTTCTAATTTTTTGAAATGTTAAACTTCCCCCCCCCCCCCCCAATTTAGAATTCATAATTTTAATGCTAGGATTTTGTGTAATTTCCACAAAATTTAATCAGCCCAATAGGCCAAATATAGTGAGGCAGCCCAAACATTTAACAAGAATACAATAACAAGATGAACATAGTGAAGTTCAAAAAATAAAAATTAAAAAAAGAAGTTGTGGGGTACTGAATAAAGCTTTATTAACAAGACAAGCATTTGAAGATGGACCCCGAGTCATAATACTTGATTCTATGGTTTATGTTAGGATAAGCAAAAAATATTAATTGAAAAAAAGGGCATAATGTACAATCCTTGTTCAAAACTTTTCACGCCAATCAAGCTGTAAGCCATGTAGGACGACCAACAACATTTTCAGCCCATTAGAAGATGATTTGGGTGGAATTTGAAAAGGTATTGTTATTCATGTTGTGGGTTGATATTTCAGGTGTCTTTTAGCTTTTTATAACGAGTAATTTAAAGTTAAAAATTTGAGTAATGCTATAAATTTTCGTTGGTAATTATTATCGTGTTATTTGACCTTTAATCTTAACTATTATGAGGTAGAAGGCCATGTTTATAGAAAATAATATCACAATCTTTCGTATCTTTTAACAACGTCTAATGTCAAATTGTACATTTATCATTATCCTACAAAGAAAATCGAAAAGTTATATTGAAAATATGCCCGATTGAACGACTTTTCGGTAAAAACAAAACCCAAAAAATCACAAAAATCAAACAAACAACAAACCCACAAGAAATAATCTGATTTACGTTCCACATTTTACACTGAAAATCAGGTGAAATAAACTTGGCACCTCTTATCTTTATAACTTGGCAAGATGAAGCCGTCTGAACCTACTCCAACTGCACAAGTTGCATGGATTCTATGGTGCTTACTTATCCATGCGAATATTTTGAATCTAATGCTTGAAGATAATCCAAGGCTAAAAGTCAGCGTCCCTCGCGTTCGATCTGCCACTATCTGCTGCCACAGCTCACCCGACAACTTCAAGGCCGCGCCGCCTATATTGCCATAAAGGATTGTTGTGTTTTTTGGCTCTTGATAGAATGGAAATAATAATATCACGTTGCCTATATTTTGTTCCTGTTAGTAAAATTCCACATCGCTTCAATAAGAAAACAATAATCAACATGAACTTTTGCTACCATTCTTAAACAAGGTAAGAATATGGAACCAAACTTAACCCTCATTTGAGCCCTATTTTAACAATAAACAAATGAGTTTTGTAATAATGATTTTTTGGAGATTGTGTGGTTAGGAAATAAGAAAAATTTTGCCCCGTTTGGCTCCCATTAAATTAATTTTTATTTTTCCCTCCTATTTTTAATCACATAATTTTTCATAAAATAATATTATATGTAGTGACGGATATAGACATTTGAAGTTAGTGGGACACAATCAAATTTATAAAAAAGTTACTAAAAATTTAATATATTTGATATCTTATTACAATTGTTCTCTACGCGTTCAAACGTTCCGTAATTATATCATTTTCAATACTTTAAATGTAGACTTGCATTTAATCTGCATTTAAAGAACTTTTCTATACCTGATACAAACAATCAATTAAAACAATCAATTCAAGAGAAAAAAATAGTCCGTTTATCAACAATAACAGATTACCAAAAACAATCAATTCAATTGTTGTTTGGTAATGGAATGATTCTCTTCTTTCATCGTGATTTAAAACATAAATAATAAATAAAAAATTAGAAAACCACTAAAGTTGGTGGGTCTCTTGACCCCCTAGGACCCAATGTTGGTCCACCAATGATCATACGTAAATTGAAAACTTATTGTTCTTTTTCAACCATTTTCATTCTCCAAAAAAAATAAAAATTATTTTGTCCATTAACATTTGAAATAATGGAAGCCAAACGAGGGCTTTGGTCTACGTGAAAATTATTTAGTTAAAAGACTGTGTGGTTAAAAAAAAATTTGAGGAATTATATATTTTGAGATGGCTTAGTATGTTATATTGCTCAAAAAAGTTCAAAAAAGCAATTGGGATACATTTAGGCCATATTTGAGTTGCATTATTTGGAAAAAATACATTCTTAAAAAGTGATTGACATCATTTCAACCACACATTTTTTAATAAAATAACATTACAAGCAAGTCCAAAACTTTTTCTTATTTTTAACCACATATTTTTTATCAATCTACTATTCTAAAATACATTCTTTAAAAATAATGTAACTCAAACACGTACTAAAGTCAAATGAGCAGTCGGTTTTCAAAGTTAGTGTTCCCAAATTGGCACGTGTTAAGGGTAAAATATCAAGCCCCTTGAATATAGGGACAACAATCAATCGTGTTCCCAAATTGGCACGTGTTAAGGGTAAAATATCAAGCCCCTTGAATATAGGGACAACAATCAATCGTGTTCCCAAATTGGCACGTGTTAAGGGTAAAATATCAAGCCCCTTGAATATAGGGACAACAATCAATCGTGTTCCCAAATTGGCACGTGTTAAGGGTAAAATCTCAAGACCCTTGAACATAGGGACAACAATCAATATTTTTAAGTAGTTGGAGTATTCTTGTTAAGAGAGCTAACATTTTAAGATAGAATTCACACAATACCTGGTAATTCACCGTTATCTGCATGGCATCGAAGTAAAACCCAACCTTGTGGTTTGGATTTCGATCTGTTACATTGAAGATTATATTGGCATTTGCATATCCAATTTCTTGGCTGAAGCTTGGGATCGAAAATTCATGTATGTGAAATCTGGGCCGGTGAGGACGCAAACTGAGCCACAAAATGAACGCGATAAGGCCTAGAACAAAGAGGATGAACAAAAAGATGCTGCAAATAAGCTTGGTGATTCTGGCGGTTAGACTTTCTTTCACACGGTGGGCGTAGTAACGAGCTGTGTGGTGCCGCTTCATGGCGCGGGTTCTGGTGGTGCTTTGGATCGGTATCTGATCACCAGACCTCATTTTTCCGGCTCGTAACGGATTATGAGACAGGAAGACTTAAGGGCTATGATAACACGTCCTATTATATGCAGTATCTACTATCTTAGTCTCTGTTTGATGGCCATCATTATGAAAAAATAATGTTTTGGACAGTATTTTTCGGAGAATATGTCGTTAAAAAGTTTTTGAGTTTACGTATAAAATATTTATTGTGTAATTAAAAATGAGTACGAGAATTAAAAAGTTTATTTTAAAAGGATATAAAGCGGGACTTAATCTACATTTATGATGCTGGACGTCTATTTATTATATTAGTCTAGAAATGTGTTGCCCGGGCCAAAAAGGGAACATATCAGAGATACGTTTAAGCTTTTTGCTTGTGGAAGAAAAGAATAATGGATCTTCATGAATAATGAGTAGCAAATTTACGTGGGAATCAAGATTGCTGAAATATTGTCTGCTACATGATATTGAAGAAAATAAAAATAACGTGGGTTATGAAAGGTAAGCAAATACATGATTCTAGTATAATTTGTTTGTGGTGGTGGAAGGTGACGGTGGCTTTTGGATTTGGTTCTGGAGTTGGGAAAGAATGGGATGGTGGTGGATGGTTTATATCTTGATTTTTCTTTTTTAATTTAATTATTAATATTTATTACAATTGTGTTTTTTGTTGAAAAATATAAAATTACAATTTTAACCTTTTTAAAATTTGTCAAAATGTTAGTCAATGTCAATTCTCTGAAAAAATAACTATCAAACTAACATAAATCATCCATTTGAATTTCAAGTGAGAGTTTTTGAAAGGTTAGCACCACGAGTGGTACAAATTAAAGGTTTGAGTCAAGTCTGCATAAAAGTTATAGATTTGGTATCGTGACTGCAATTTTCCCTAATATTAATTTAAAACTACCATAAACAAAACTTTAATCAAAGGAAAAAATCTAATACAATCATATAATACTAAGAGCATCTCCAAAAGATTGTTAAAACATAAAATGCTCTCTAATATTAATTTAAAACTACCATTAGCAAAACTCTAATCAAAGGAAAAAATATAATATACTCATATAATACTAAGAATATCTCCAAAAGACTCTTAAAATATGATATGCTCTCTATTTTAAAGAGTCAATTTTTAAAATCATTCTCTAATAAACTCTTTAAATTGATATTTTAATTTAGACAGTGAGTTTGGGAGATTAAAGAGTCAATCTTTAAAATCATTCTCTAATAAACTTTTTAAATTGATATTTTAATTAGAGAGTGAGTTTGGCTCTCCCAAACTCACTCTCTACAATTAAATGCATTCAATAGATTTCAATTTTCAATGAAGGAAAATAACATAATAATCTGAAGAAAAATTACTTAAAATAAAGATGGGAAAAAATGATAAATATTTTTCGAGAGTAGTGAAATTAAGTGTTAAATATAAAGAGCACGTTGAAGTGCTGCAAAATTTTTACTCTTTAATTTTATAGATGTTCTCTAAATGATGAAATATGCTCGTTAAAAACGAAGAATCTCTTGGAGATACTCTAAAATCGTAAAACTCGGAAAATTTTTGATAGTTTGCATACATCATGCATACTGCATCACCAATGTCCTCTAATTATTAACCGACTTAAGTACCCCTACATTCAAGTTATTGACTATGGAAATTTGGCCGCTCTCTCCCCTTCACCCCTATCCTTTTTTGCTAGTGGATGGCCTACATACTCACCCACTGGCCATTACCAATAGGTCATTTGAGTTAGATAAGCTTAATAGATCTATCTTCGATTCATAAGGAACCCACAAGTCCCCAACGGGTAAACTATTGTGGGAACTGTATGAGCCAGTATTGGTCAAACTCACTCCAACCTTTTATAACACAATCTCGCTCGGTCCCCTTCCATAAACGGATGTCTCATTGCATTTTGCTACAGATCATCTTGATATTATAGATCCCATGACATGTGTCACTCTACATTTCGTTGATTTTTCGTCACGTGAACATGATGGAAGCCTCTATAAATACCTCACAGCATTAAAGGTAAATTCTAAGTGCATATTTTAAGTCCTTTCTTCGTTTGTTCCTTACTTAGATTCTCTATAAAATTTTACTCTTCAAAGTAGTAATTCTCATGCTGAATGGGAAAAGAGATATTTAGTAATGCCCTTAATTGTAGGTATCAGGATAGATTGGAACATCGTCAGGGAGAAAAACTTGGTTGTTATAAAAAGGCACTCAATTATATAAAACAAATTCAACTATTGAAAAAGAGGCTTAATGATGTAGAATCAAGTAAAGAACTAAGAGAAAGAGAAGCACACAAAAGAAGAAGAAGAAATGTTTTCAACAAGCAATTTAATTTTCACCAAATGTGTTGTCTACCTTTGCAAGTTTCATTACAAACCAATATATAAAAAACAAATCCCAAAGTAAAGGGTCTTTGGACTAATCCAATAGTACAAGCCCAACTAAAGAAAGCATAAATAAGATAGTTCACTACAATAAAATAAAAGATATCCTCGTCAATTCTCTCAAGTGGGAGAAAAAACTCAACTCTGTTGAGTGAATAAAACACAAAAAAATAGACTACAATCAATATTCCAATCATAAGCTAAGTGTTTGCACAAGCTTCTTCCAAGTCCCATAAACACACGTAAGTGGAGGTTTGAATATAGTGTCCCCATCGACTCCCTCGAGATGGATGGAAAGTGAACTAGCAAAGGAAGATCTTGTTGACTCCAATAAAGCTCCGATAAATCTGATTCAAGCTAATGGAGTGTCTATCTGATAATCTATGTATAGTCAAAATCAAATTGATCTATCCAACAAATAAAAAAGCGCTGAATCTCTCTATCATTGGCCAACTTAATATGTTCATCTAAAATAGCATCAATTTTATCTTTCTGTATTGTGATAGGTGGTATTGGAGTAGAAATAGCAATAGATTCAATCTGGGGTCCACAGATAGAGATAGAAAAGGATCATCGGAGAGACTAAAATGGCTTTTAGAAGCAACTAAATCCTAAAAATTGAAAGATTGAAAGTAGAGTTGTAGCCAAAATGTGATGAAACATCAATGACATACACATTTAGACCAACACGGGCTGGCAACTTTGAAGTAGATCCAAGTAGATGTCATTTCTAATTCGGATCTGGTGGTGGCAATGGGCTAAACAGAGTCGTTTGGCCCCATTACCCATGAGCTCGACTCGTCAAATTGATGAGGTGAGCTCGGGGCTCTAAAAAACGAGGCAAGTCTCTCAAGCTTGGCCCTAGAGCTCGTGGCTTGTGGGTCGAGCCAAGCTTGGCCCACGAGCTCAATCTATTTTTTTCTTTTTTTAATCCTTCCATAATAATTATTGGGAGTTAAAACTGTACACAAATAACTTGTTATATGTATATTTTTTTTTTTAAATCAAGTATCCGAAAAACAAAGAATTAGTCTAACATATCCTCAAATTCTTCCAATATTATCAATCAAGCATCTGCAAGAAAACATGAACCAAACACACTTCATGTGTTAGCAGCACACTTGATTCACGTTGTATGTAATTTGAGGAAATGGATTCTTTGTTTTTGAAAGCTTTCTTTTATTGATGCAAAAATATTTATTTTTCGTTAAATTGAAATATTGAATATACAAAATTGATATGAAGTTTGAAAATTTGAATTGTACGAATATGAAATGTACAAAGTTGTAGAAGTAAAATGTATAAATGATAAATCGATTTGAGATTTGAAATTAGATATGAATTTTCAAATCCACTTTTATTTGTGCTTGGGCCTAGCTAATTATTTTCAAGTAAATAGAGTTAAAATTGTACACAAATAACTTATTATGGGTATAAATTTTTTTAATTCAAGTCTCCGAAAATAAAGAATCCTCAAATTTCAAGTATCGTCAATGAAGCTTGCTGTCAAACGTAATTAATTGACATACCTGAAACTTGAAGATTCTTTGTTTTTCGGAGGTTTTATGCAAGTCTTTTTCTTATGAGGTATGTGCCCACCTGCTTCCTTCATGCAATCAAGATGATTGTAGAGAGAATGAAATAGGTAAACCCATACATTTTAAAGAAAAAAAATAAAACAAATTTTCGAATTGACATGGTAGGCCATCAACAAATTTTCTAATTCCTTGTTCACTGCAAAATTCAATTTCTCCCATTTTGTTTTTTATTTGTCCTTGGTTAATTTTGCATGACATCTAGAAAGACGACGACCAAATTTATGATATTTTTTGCACTCTACCTTGGATTTGTCTAAAGTGTTGGTCACATCTTCTACCTTTGTCTTGAAATTGATTATAATTAGCATTGAAATTTTGATACTACCTACCATCTTTATTGCCTTAACCTCCCATTTTTCTACCTCTACCTTTACATCTATTGCCTCCTCACTTGATGAGCAAGCCTAAGGCTTGCTCATTTGTAGTTGAACTTCTATTCATCTTTTCTTTGTGGATAGATTGTTAGGAATTTACTTAAACATGCACAATGAAAATAAAACAATTTCAATTTCCACTATAATTCATCTTTGTATTTTGATAGGAATTGTGATAAAAGTTAACCTTTTTTTAGATCTGCAAACTCCTTTGCGTTATCTTTGTTCCAGCAACCTGGATCTGTCTCCCACAGCTGTCCACTTGTCCAGCCTCTAATGAATTCTACACAGAGAACAGATAGCAGTCACAAGGATTTTCTTCTCTCGTGCTAGCAAAAATTATGAGATTGTCTACAGATTGAAAACCCTATCCATATATTTATATAAGTCCAAATGGGCTTGGTTTGGTTCGGTCCACTATTTAGTTAACTCATTTAATTAAATTCGGCACGTGAATTAATTAATCAAATTAATTGATTCGGGCCTATATATAACCAACCCAATTAATTAATTTATCCAACGATTGTTAAATTAATTAATTGACAAATTGCAATCTTTCAATTCTCTTTTGTGTGCAACACATTATGTTCCTGATCACGATGCCTAACGATGTGAAATATTATTTTGATCTAATCAAAATTGATAAATTAAAAATCATTTTAATTTATTACAAATTCACACTCGCCGTCCTAGAATAACATCTAGCAATGTATCAGTGCAACACATGTGACGAAAAATGTCATGTGGTATGACAAAACCAAACTTGTTCGTTTACCATGAAACTATAATTCATTCGTC